GTATACCGAAGTTAACAACTCTTATATTTACACATACTAATGGTAGAAAAAATCTCATTCATAACAGCATCAAAGGAATAAACATAACAAAACATGTAAAACCTAAATGAGGAAAAAATGTAAACCATTCTTAAAAGCCACAAGAGAAGACTTGATTCAATGAAAAGATATTCTGCATACTTGGATAGGATATCTCAGCATCATCAAGATGTTAGTTCTGTCTAAATTCATTTAATTCACAATCGCAATAAAATTGCCAAGAAGTGTTTTTACAGAGCTAAAGTGATACTAAAGTCCAAAGGAAAAAAATAGTACAATTTTTTTTTTACATAGAATATATATTGCTTTGATCATCACACAAAAAATTTACATGAACTATTTCTAAAGCAGAAATCATTTCTGATGTTCTATATGCAGGTTAACATCACTACAAATGAATAATCACAGCTGCAGACCATTTTTTAGATAGTGAGGTTTTCTTTGCTTATGGGGTCTCAAATCTCTTTCTTGGATCAGGAGCAAATCTACTTTGAAATGATTAGAAAAAGAGGTCTGGATTGAAGGACAGCAGCATCTTCACCAGCTGAAAATATACAATGTTGTAATAAACAAATAAAGAGTATCTGTCCTATATTGTAAACATACCACAGAAGAGTATTTCTCATAATTTTAGATTTTTTAGCCTTCTTACTGAATTCTCTATAATAGTGAGAGAAGAAAATGTTATTAAACTTAAAATATGTAATTTTCAAATAAAATTGACATTTTGATTTAAGCAGAAAAAAAAGGTCAAGTAACCCATTATTAGTCAATTTAACTATCCTAAATTGCTTCCAATTGAAAAATGGGCAGAGGACCTGAGTAGACTTTTTTCCCCAAAGATGACATACCAATGACCAACAGATACAGGAAAAGATGCTTAGCATCACTAATCTTCGAGGAAATACAAATCAAACTACAATGAGATGTCACCTCACACTTGTTAGAATGGCTATTTCCAAAAAGACAAGAGATAATAAGTGTTGGCAAGGATGTAGAGAAAAGGGAACCCTTGTGCACTGTTGGAAGGAATGTAAATTGGTACAACCACTACAGCAAAGGGTATGGAGGTTACTCAAGAAATTAAAAATAGAACCACCATATGATCTAGCAATCCCACATCTGGGATATATATTCCTTTATATCCCAAAGGAAATAAAATTAGAATCTTGAAAAGATATGCGTTCTCTCATGTTCATTACAGCATTATTCACAATAGCCAAGATATGGAAACAACCTAAGTATCCATCTAGAGATGAATGGATAAAGAAGATGTAGTATATATGTAATGAAATATGATTCAGTCATAAGAAAGAAGGAAACCCTGTGGTCTGTGACAACATGGATGAAACTAAGTGAAATAAGTGAAAGAAAGATAAATACTTATGACTGTCACTTATATATGGAACCAAAACTACAACAACAACAACAACAACAACAACAACAAGAAAAAACGAACTCAAAGAAACTGACAGTAAGTAAAATGTGGTTTCCAGAGGCTGGAGAGTGAGGTAAATGGGGAGATGTTAGTCAAAGAATATAAACTTCCAGTTACCAAGACAAATAAGTTCTGGGGAGAAATATAACATGGTGACTATAGTTAATATTATTACTGTAGGGGCGCCTGGGTGGCTCAGTCGGTTGAGCATCCGACTTCGGCTCAGGTCATGATCTCACCATCCGTGAGTTCAAGCCCCGCATCAGGCTCTGTGCTGACAGCTCGGAGCCTGGAGCCTGCTTTGGATTCTGTGTTTCCCTCTCTCTCTGACCCTCCCCTGTTCATGCTCTGTCTCACTCTGTCTCAAAAATAAACAAACATTAAAAAAATATATTATTACTGTAATACAGCAATACAGTCAATATTATATACTTCAAAGGTACTAAGAAAATAGATCTTAAACATTCTTACCATTCACAAAAAATGGTAACTATGTGAGGTGACAGAAGTATTAACCAACACTACTGCAAATAATTTCATAATATAAGTGTATCAAATCATGTTGTACATCTTAAACTCACAAGATATTGCATGTCAATTATGTCTCAATAAAGCTCAGGGAAAAAAAAGAGCCAAATAGCTTCATTACATTCTCTTACTCCATGAACATACTTAACCTAAAAATATCTCACCATTTTCATGACATTTGCTGTGAGCATTTCTTGCCTGAATTGGCTATTAAAGATTTCTTATATACAAAGTAAAATTTAATCTCCAGTTTAGAGTGAAATGATACTATGTCAAGGGGAGAAAAAAAAAAAACAATTTCAGAATACACCTGCTACTAAGTTTGACAACAATAATTTTAATAAGCAACGTATATATTCCCTCACTAAATATAAGTATTACATGTTCTACAGATGCCTGAAATTTTAAAGAAGTCTTTAAGGTGGCATTTTCCGAGAACCTTTCCAGTGAAATACCCATCGTGTTGCCTTTTTAAAAATCTTCAAAATTATATAGATTATATATACAATAATATATCTGAAGATTAAAATTTAACATACCTGGTAACTTGCAGGCTCAGGTCAAAAGAAGTAAAAAAAATTAACATGGAATAGCATGCAAAAATGCTTTGTAAACTGGGAATAGTTATAGAAGCACAGACCATTATTAAATCAGCAAAAGTCAATTATAAAGCAACACAAATACTTGTGCTATCATTTATAAGAACATGATATTTCAGATTTTTGAAGTTTATGATATTCAACTTATTTAAAAAGTACAGTTAAATTTTAAAAATATAATTTTGCCTTCTATAAACTGAAGTGGGTCCAATCCAGTTCTGAATTAGGAATATGTACATTTTAAAGGGCCATTTTTTTTAGTAGCTAAAGTGAAATGAGAAACATTAAAGTCAATTAGTCATTCAAATATTTGACCAATACAAATTTACTGAGCACAAACAATATATAAAGTCCTGTTCTCAGTGCCAGAGATACAAGTGTGAACAAAACAGATAAAGATCCTTGCCCTGGTGCAACTTACTTTCTAGTGGGGATAGACAGAAAATGAAAAAGACAAATAAGTGAATTATAAATGGTAACAGTGTGGGGTGCCTGGGTGGCTCAGTTGGTTAAGTGTCCGACTTCGGCTCAGGTCATGATCTCACAGTTGGGGACTTCAAGCCCCATGTCAGCTCTGTGCTGAGAGCTCAGAGCTTGGAACTTGCTTTGGATTCGGTGTCTCCCTCTCTCTCTGCCCTTCCCCCACTCATTCATTTTCTCTCTCTCTCTCTCTCTCTCTCTCTCTCTCTCTCAAAAATAAATAAATACTAAAAAAAAGTTAACAGTACTAAAGTAGAAAATTAAAACAAGCAAAGGGGACAAAGAGCTGTATGTCTACGACAAGGTACAATTCAGCCAGCTGACAGCTGAAGGTGAGGGAGTAAGTAGCCATTTCTGCGATGAGCATTCCAAGCAGAAGGAATTAGTAAGCATTAAGGCCTTGAAGGGGGAGGTGCCTGCTGAGGCTGAGGAACAGTGAAGGTAAAAATAAATAGAAAGAGAGAGGAAAACAAGAAGTGAAACTCAGGAAGGTAACAGACAATGGACTATACTCTCTGACGGACTGTAGAGGCCATTACAATGATTTTGGCTTTTACTCTGAATAGGGAAGACATTAAGGCAGAAGAGTGATATCTCTGATTCAGGCTTTAAAAAGATCATTCATTCTAGATGCTACGCTAAAAAATAAACTACAGTGGAGCCAGTGGAAGTAGGGTGACTAGTTAAGAAGCGATTGCAATAATCGAGGTGAGAGATGGTGATGGCCTAGTCCAAGGAAGTAGCAGCGGAGGCAGAAAGAATGAAGATTCTTGGGACACCTGGGTGGCTCAGTCAGTTAAGCGTCTGACTTCGGCTCAGGTCATAATCTCGCGGTCCATGAGATCAAGCCCAGCATCTGGCTCTGTGCTGACAGCTCAGAGCCTGGAGCCTCCTTCGGATTCTGTGCCTCCCTCTCTCTCTGCCCCGCTCCCACTCGCACTCTGTCTCTCTCTCTCAAAAATAAATAAACATTAAAAAAATTAAAAAAAAAAAAAAAAAGAACAAAGATTCTACATACGTATTGAAGGCAGAGGCCCCAGAACCCATTGATGGAGATCCTGTAAGAGGTAAGAGGCAGAGTGGAGTCGGGACTACTTAAAATCTCTGAAGAGTGAACAAAGGCAGATTTTACAGGGAAGCTGAAACTTGGAAGAAGGAATGATACCAGAGTAGTTCACTACTTTGGAGGTTTGGGCCTGAGGGTGGGCCATGGTTGTGGCAAGACATGGCTGGATCTCTGAGAAAAAGCCTGTGGTCTTTTTGACCTGACAACCAGAGGGAAGAGCCCAGGGCAAGCACAGTCACTGGAAGTAAGGGAGAGTCTTGGAATAGAGAGAACCCAGAGATTGGGGGTGGGTGGTGGCTAATTCTGTGTAAATTCTAAGTCTCTGGCTGACTGCCACACCATGCTTGCTCAGGACCTAGTGAAAGCAGTTTGAAGAAAAGGTTAAAATAAACTGACATTTCAGCTGTTGCAGGCCATAGGTGAGAAAAAAAACTGTAATTTGTGCCTAACCAAGTTAATTGCCTGCTAAAACAAAGACAGCAACATTCTTCAGAGGAATGTAATAGAAGGCAGAGTATTCACAACAAAAATTCACAATGTCTAAGATACAATCAAATAATCATTCAGTATCCAAAGAACCAGGAAAATGTGACCTACTGTCAGAGGAAAAGACAATTAATGGTGAACCCTATGTCCATGTTGTCAGTTCAGATGGAAGGATGAACCCCAAAGGGCATATCAACCCCAGGCATGACCAGACTGGCCAGAACAGGTAGGCCTACACTTAAGGGACAGAATGCTTATCATTCAAAAAAAATCTGCGGGACAAATAGTTAACCAGCACTATCCTAGACGTGCTTAACATCTCTAACATAACTCTAACATAAAGAAAAAAAAATCTTTTTTTCAGATTCCAAATCTCTTGAGATAGAAAAGACCTCTGAGGACGAAAGGAAACAGCACCAGAACACCTGCTAGCATGACCTCATGGGCCTCCTATTAATGGTATCCACCTTCTCAGGAGACCCCTGCCCCAAATTTTGCCCTTGAAAACCCTCACTTGCCAGCCAGCCAGGAGTTCAGGGCTTTTTGAGCATTAGCTCCTTGTTTTCCTGAGCGGCCCACACCAATAAATAACCTATCTTTCTTCACTGCAAAAGCTCAGTGTGAGTTTTTATTGGCTTGCTGCACCTCAGGTGGATGAAGTCTCATTTATTTTGGTTATAAGTGATCAACCTTGAGATGAATCAGATGTTGAAACTAGCAATAAATAACTCCAGAATGGCTATTATACCTAGCCTAATAATGTACATAAAAATAGAAGAATTTTTTTAATAAATTAATTTTTTAAAATTTATTTTTGAAAAAGAGAGAGAGAGAGAGAGAGAGAGAGAGAGAGAGAGAGAGAATGTGAGCAGGGGAGGGGCAGAGAGAGAGGGAGACACAGAATCCGAAGTAGGCTCCAGGCTTCAAACTGTCAGCACAGAGCCCGATGTGGGGTTTGAACTGACAAATGGTGAGATCATGACCCAAGCCAAAGTTGGATGCTTAACCGACCAAGCCACCCAGGTGCCCCTAAGAATTTTTTTAAAAACAGAAAATCTCAGCAGAGAAAAATAAAATACAAAATAGAACAAAATAATAATTTTACAACTGAAAAACAGAACAGAAATTTTAAAATTCATTGCATGAAAATGACAAGATGATTGAATGTGAAGATTGGTAAAATAGACCAATAGAAATCATACAAACTGAAAACCCAGATAATGAATATATTTTTAAAAAGGAAGGGGAGTGAGACCTATGCATTAAGTTAACAAATGCTTGGCCATTCTACCTAAAAAAAACTCTGGCTAACCTGATTGATTTAGGAGCCTGTTCTGCAGAAGGTGACCTACCACTGAGGAGACTAGCTAACACCAAAGCAAACTAGGAAATATTCTTGTAGTTGTGCAGAAGGGACTAAAAGTGAATGAAAGTGAATTTCCTGCTAATTTATGAACATGTGTTCCATGAAGAGTCATGATTCCTGAATGTGTAGGCTCAGAGAGAAGTACACCTCCCTTTGCCCCTATATTCAATCAGCATATTCCATTCAACCTACATACCCCATGACATCTTGACCCCTTGTCTTTATTTATTTTGACCCCAACCCTTCAGGGAGGTGGATTTGAGAAATTTTCTCCTGGCTTCTTGCTTGGCATCCTGCAATAACACCCCTTTTCTCTGCCACAAAACTGGTGCCAGTGTTTGGCTGACTGCACGTCGGGCAAAGGATTTGTTCAGTAAGCAAGGGAGGATGAAGAGGAGAATCAACAGGAAAAGGAGAAGAAACACTCAGGGACCTTTAGAGAAGTATCAGAAGGTCTAATAGACAGAGATTCTGAGGTCTGCCTAGAAAAGCATATCTTGGAATAAAGCTGCCCTTGGCCTTAATCTTATTATTTCAGCCTGTTTAAAAAGGAAAGCTCTTTAAATACCTTTCTGTCCATTTGTAGTTCTCTTTTCTGAGGCATTTCTTTCTTTTTTTAATAAAGTCCTGGTTTTGTTTTTATTTTTTAAATTTCTTATTTATTTATTTATGAAAGAGAGAGAGAGAGGGCGCAAGTGCGCAAGGGGCAGAGACCGCGGGGGGGGGGGGGGCGCGGGGAGAGATAGAGAGAAAGAGAAAGAGATGGAGAAAGAGAGAAGCTGGGTTCCCTCAAAGCGGGGCTCAAGCTCACAAACTGTGAGATCATGACCTGAGCCATAGTCAGATAGATGCTTAACTGACTGAGCTACCCAGGCACCCCCTCTGAGGCATTTCTTTTACAGAACAGAAACTTGGAAGAAAAACCCAGGCTGCCCTTAGATAACCCATTTCTCTGGCAGTTACTACATACAATCAAGAAGCCAAAAGCCACAGGGTGAAGCAAACTCCCGTGACCAATTTACAACCAACTTGCTCCTGCAAAGACCAGACCAGGCCAGTCAGAGCTACCACGTGGCCCTCAGCCCTGACCTTTCATCCACTTTGCCCCTCATTATAATGTTAAAAATCATGGCCAGGGGTAGAGACTTAACATGTAAATAAAATTTTCAATGTATGAAGAAGCATGTTGTCAACTGTGCCTCTGTGCCCAATTTCCTGTCTTCCCACCCCTGCATGCATGCTTAGATGGCACCCCTTTCCTGCTTTAGCCCCTTCAAAAACTTTCCCCTGCCACTGCTCAGGGAGTGGCCTGGTATCCCTCTAACTAAGGGATGTCTAAGGCTGTCTCCCCATGCCCAGGCATGAGCTTGCAATAAACACTGTCAACACCATCCTTGGCCTCGTTTCTACATGAGAGTCAAAGAACTCTGAGGTCGGCAACATATTATATAAAGCAGAAAATAGAACAAGGCAGATTTGACAAAATTATGGCAAACTAACTTCCCAAATCAGGTCCATAAATCTGCAGATTGAAAAAGATCAGTGAAACTCAAACATGAAAAATACAAGGAAACTCATGCCTACTTATATCATATTCAAACTACTGACATAGATAAAAAAGAAAATACTGAAAACCACCAGAGAAAAGTAACACATTATATACAGGAGAACAATAATTTCAATGACTGTTAACTTTTCATCAGAAAAAATGAAAGCCAAAAGACAGTGAATGCCATCTTTAAAGTGCTGAAGGATAAGAATCTTGAAGGATATCAACCTTGACCTAATTTATATTTATTTATAAAACACTATATCTAACAACTGTAGAGGACATATTCTTTTCAAGTACACATTGTACATTCATCAACACAGAACATAAGCTGGGTTGAAAACAAGTCTTAAACATTTTTTGTTTTCAAATTGAAATCATTTGGAGTGTATATGCCAACTTCCTTGTCCAAAAGATATAGAGTAATAGACACTGACTGGATTTAACCTCCTGTCTAGAAATAACAAGGAAAGACAGACAGAAAGAAAGAAGAGGTAAGGGAAGAGGGGCGGCAGGGTGGAGAGGGAGAAAGAAAAAGAACTTTCAAAACACTGGAAAAAGGGCAAAGAAGAAAGATCCCTGTAGACAGGATAGAAAGGAGGAGAGTCCTAAGATTGCTACAGTTGTCTTCAGTTTCGGCTGGTGTTGCAGGGAAAAAAAACCCTGGTGGACTCTTAGTGGAAAGAGAGCCTAGTGAGTTGACATGGAGCTACCAGCCCTGGGAGACAAAGACACCTACAGTTTAGGACAGAGACAGAGCAGCACAGAGAACTCAGTGACCTGTGGAGGATCCCCACTGAAATGCTGATTGACAAATACATTTGAGAAACTACCTGAGCCTGGGGAAAGAACCATCTGATCCCTAGTGCTAAAATAATACCTGGTATATGAAAGACACTTAATAAAAATTGTTAAATATTGAATGAATTCAAACATCTATGAGTTTTTTCTAAAACTAAATTATGCAAAAAATTTAAATACCATAACACTCTCTTGCAAAGTGAGGAGGTTAAAAGAAAATAAAATTTAAGAAAACAAAGACAGGTTTGGGCAAAATATGTAATATTCAAACCCACATTATGAAATATATTTACCTCTTTATGTTTTTTAGGTATCTTCCTAATAAGTAATTTTAATGCATATTGTGCTTGCGCTCCTAAATGAATATTATCCAACAAAGTTACCCAACTTTATTTTTTTTTTTATTTTTATTTTTTTTTAAATTTTTTTTTTTTCAACGTTTATTTATTTTTGGGACAGAGAGAGACAGAGCATGAACGGGGGAGGGGCAGAGAGAGAGGGAGACACAGAATCGGAAACAGGCTCCAGACTCTGAGCCATCAGCCCAGAGCCCGACGCGGGGCTCGAACTCACAGACCGCGAGATCGTGACCTGGCTGAAGTCGGACGCTTAACCGACTGCGCCACCCAGGCGCCCCCAAAGTTACCCAACTTTAAAAAGTAAAAATATTGTGGCACCTGGGTGGCTCAGTCAGTTAAGTGCCCGACTTCCGCTAAGCATCCAACTTTGGCTCAGGTCATGATCTCACAGTTCCTGGGTTCGAGCACCACATCAGGCTCTCTGCTGTCAGCACAGAGTTCGCTTCGGATCCTCTGTCCCCCTCCTTGGGCCCCTCCCCCACTCGCATGCAAAAACAATTCTAAAAATCCCAAGGCCTTATCAATTTTTCAGAATCACTATGCAAAACTGAGAAATGATGACCATTTCAATTCAAGCATTACCTTGAGAGAGTTATAACAGAAGGAGTTAATTACCTCACATAGAATAACTTTGAGCCAATAAAAAGTACTTATATGGAGTTTCTACTGTCACATGAGGAATTATAAGGAATTTATAGGGTTTCACATATTCCTTTCAGGATGTACTTTAGGAACAATTACTTAGAAAGTGTTTAATTTAAAAAGTATTAACATTAAATTCAAATTCTACAATTTTATTTTATTTTTTTTTAAGCTTATTTATTTTGAGAAAGAGCACACGTGAGTCAGGGAGGGGCAGAGAGAGAGAGGGAGAGAGGGAATCCCACCTAGGCTCCATATCCAGAGCGAGCCCCCACACAGGGCTCAATCCCACGACCCTGGGATCATGACCAAAGCCGAAATCAAGACTCAGTTGTTTAACTGACTGAACCACCCAGGTGCCCCTCAAATTCCCTAATTTTAACTAAAAACTAAAAATTATCCTTTATGAGCATATGTAACATATTGGCATACTAAGCAAAAACATTTCTGATATTACACATGCATATGGTTTTTCATCCAGAGAATATTTGATTAAGGTTTATTTAGATGAATGGGATAAATGAAACATATTATATAGAAGTAGATAAAACTACTGGAAGTAGTTAAAACAGCCTGAAAGATTCTGCATAGTATAAAGTTCTCATCAAAGTCTGATTAATCCTTTCTAAATCAGAATTTGCTACAGGAGAAAATTAGGTATATTTCACTTGGTCAAACTGTATGTTTAGATGTCAGGAGATGAGTTTTTCTGATTTAGGAATGGGGGGTGGGGAGGTAGGAAAGACAGAGGGACACCCCAAGCTTTTTCTCCCCTCCTCCCATTTTCTTTTGTTACACTTTTACCTCTATTCTTATGTAAATCTATTCAGTTATAAATTCTAAATTAAATGGTAGTTCTGTGTGAAAAGTCAACCTCACTGGTTTACG